ACTATAAGTATAAATACATCCAAACGACATCATATTTGGCAGCCACATGGACTTTTCTCAAAACCCTACATTCATACCCGCTCAAATCACCGGTTTTTAATTCCCTTCTGCTCTCTTTTTTCTGTGATCGTTTCTTTTGGATGTCAAACCCTGCCACCACCTCCACCGCCGGCAGACACTCAACCCATCGCCGCCGTGCCCCGGAACTAATGTCTGATATCCTTGTACCCACAATAGACTCGTCCTTTGAAAACCCAAATGGATGTCAATGCAATGGTTACTTAGATTATGTATCGGAAACGACGGTTAATTGTTTAGGGTGTTGTACTGCCACCTGCCATCACCACCGGCACCACCACAACAACTACTTTTTTCTAAGAAAAGGGTCGGCGGAGAAACGGATTTTCAAGTCTTTGAGAGTAGGGAAGAATGTAGGGCGTAGCCTGTTGGTGTTTCTGATTGTTTTGGTGGTTTTAACGGTTTTTTTGAAGCTTGCATACATGACGGGGAGTCATGTGGCCAAGACGCAGGCGGAGTACGGTGCCGGAATGTTCATTTTGAGGGATTATAAGCGTGATTCAGTCGAGGCTCAGAGAGTTTTGTCAGACATTCATTCTTCCATGCCCATGAGAGTACTCGACAACTACTCAGACCATCCTGTAACCATCCATCTCTTCTTCTCATTTTCAATTTCAATTTCTGAATATTAATTATTTCAAATTTCTGGGGCTCTAAGGCTTAATCTATTGAATGATTTGAAACTGAAAAAATCGAGTCTTTAATTTCACCTTTTCTGGGTTTAGAACTCATTCAACATATAGAAAAATCATAGCAATTTTCTTGATTTTTGGTTTTATTTCATGACATATATGATATGGGTTTCTTCCCATTAACCAAATGGATTTATTTATTGATTTTTCGTTTATTTTATCAAGAACAAGGAGTGGGCAGCACAATGAGAAAGAGTCTTCGTAGAATTTTGAGGTTTGACTCTATTAGTCAACCTTCTGAGAAATTGGGTTTCTTCCCATTAACCAACTTCTGTGACCTTTCCACTTCATCCAAGTGCAATTACCTTTTTTACCCTCGTTTTCCTATTCCATCAAAAGCTATATTTTCCTAAAAAAAGTTGCCTCAGGTGTCTTTCATGATTCACATGTAATGCCAAAAAGATGATTAATTTAATTGTTAAATACAGTATTTATTTGAAAAATGGAGCATAGAAGGCTGATATAAGCTGTTATTTCTTGTTTGTTTCCCACAGGTTCATGAAATTTGGATGAAACCAAACAGCAATAACCATCATCAATGCATTGTTAGACCAAGAAACAGAATAAGTTAGTCGATGGGATTCTTGTTTTCATCGCATATATAATTCACCATCGATATCGAATCTTTACTTGACGTCGTTTCTAAACTTCTGTTTGTTTTTTACAGAGACAAACTCAGCGACCAACGGATACCTTCTTGTTCATGCCAATGGTGGATTGAATCAAATGAGAACCGGGGTGAGTTGTCATCCAAAAGCATCTGATCTATTTTGTTTTCTACATTATGGAACCGAGCTTTCTACTCTTAGAAATATCTAACTTATTAACATGCCAGATCTGTGATATGGTTGCCATTGCCAAGATTATGAATGCCAGCCTTGTTCTTCCTTCTCTAGATCATCAATCCTTTTGGACGGATCCTAGGTATCGTACGGATGATAAGATGTTCTCTTTTTGCTGTTTTTTTATGTCTGTTCTTTGCAGCATGATAAGATCATTTCATTTTGGCAGTGATTTTAAGGACATTTTTGATTGGAGGCATTTCATGGATGTTCTAAGAGATGATATAGAGGTTGTAGAGTCTTTACCACCAGAATATGCAAGAAAAAAGCCCCATCTCAAGGCTCCAATTTCATGGTCAAAGGTATGTGTAGTAATAGAATCCTCAAACTCAAAGGGAAAGATGGAACCTTTATGTTTGATTTTGGTCAATATATATTGAATGCAGGCCAGTTACTATAGAGGGGAGATGTCTTTATTGTTAAAGAAACACAAAGTAATTCAGTTTACACACACCGATTCACGGCTGGTCAACAATGGGCTCGCGTCCTCTTTTCAAAAGCTTAGGTGTCGAGCCAATTATCAGGCCCTTCGTTACTCTAATCAGATCCAAGAGCTTGGGAAGAAGCTGGTTGATCGACTTAGGAGCAAGGGCGGCCCCTATATCGCTCTTCATTTGAGGTAATACAATCTTTCCAATCCATTTGTCGTGTTGACTTGTGGTAAAACTAGACGTATATATTGCATATCTCTTAAAAAGGTTATAAATTTCAATATGGTTCTTTGTTTGATCCGCAGATACGAGAAAGATATGCTCGCTTTCACGGGATGCAGCCATAATTTAACAGTAGATGAAGCAGAGGAACTTAGAGCAATGAGATATGGTGTGAAGCATTGGAAAGAAAAGGAAATAAACAGCAGAGAAAGAAGACAACAAGGGGGTTGCCCCATGTCCCCTAGAGAGGCTGCTCTCTTCCTTAAAGCCATGGGATACCCTCCCAACACTAAAATCTATATAGTTGCCGGAAAGATATACGGGAGTAGGAGCATGGACGGATTTCGGAACGAGTACTCAAACGTGTTTTCTCATAGCACGCTGATGACTCGAGAGGAATTGCATGCGTTTCAGCAGTATCAGAACCGGCTTGCGGCAGTTGATCACATTGTTGCCCTTGAGAGCGATGTTTTTGTTTACACGTATGACGGGAATATGGCCAAGGTAGTCCAAGGCCATAGGAAGTTCGAAGGCTTCCGTAAGACGATCAGCCCTGATCGGTATGTACTCGTTCTAAATCACCAATGTGCACCTCTCACATTATGCTCTTCGTGTGAGCCCGGTTACGTGTACTTGAAATTAATGATGGTTTTGTTTGGGTTTTCAGGCAACAGTTTGTAAAACTGATAGATGGGTTGGACAAAGGAGTGATGTCATGGGACACATTTAGTTCTCGAGTGAAGACCATTCACGGAGAGCGGTTAGGTGCACCTTCGGAGAGGAAGGCGGGTGAGTCGCCAAGAGTAGAAGAGAACTTCTACTCAAACCCGTTTCCGGGGTGCATCTGTAACGATAAATCGAGTATCGACAGGAGACCACCGATCCCGAGAGTTTGACGAAAACAGGGGATTTTGCACGCTTGTATATCACACATACATACATACATACATACATATATATACATAGTCTTGCTTGATAACAATACGACACGAAAGATTTTATTTTTAATTATTGGATTTTAGAAAGTTATGGATTTGAATAGGTTTTCACATCTTATATATGAATATGAATATAGGCAATGGTACTTCACATGGTGATGTTTTTCGTGTTAGGTGTTTCTCACGTGCCCATCATGTGCATTTTAATCTTGCAAGAAATTTATATAAAATTCAATCCAAATCTTATGTCAACCCAACTAATAAAATACTAGAAAGGTATTCGAGCAATGTATGGAGACACATCTCAATTAAATGTTTTGTTTTATTCTTTATCTATGTCGATATAATGCAGTTTTGATTCAACTTGACGCAAGTAACTTTTGGTTTTCTATTCCTTTGAATCAATTATATGCAATTTGGTTTAGAAAGTTGGTGCGTGCAATCTTGGTCTTGGTTTTAATGAACATAAAAACATGGTATGGTTGTAAAGAGGTGTAATGTCATTAGTTTGGCAGTGGTTTTGATGCAAAATGGGATACCATTTTTTGGATAATTTAATTATTAATGTGTATTACAAGATAATTTTTTTACAAGGTGTACAAGTTTCTAGTCAACAAAGTGAAGCAACTGAAAGGAAAAATTCTTTAATAATATTAGTGTTCTAACACCGTGAATTATACGGTGATTAAAACTCCAATGAAGAAAAATACGTAATAGTCTCGACTCTAGTGAAAGTGCGATGTGTCTGAAAAACTATGGATTGTATTTATATTTATAACGTCTCATCCAACACTGTAAATCACGATTTGGAGAATACCAACATTAGATGAAAGCACGTCATTAAGTCAACATTTTCATTATATACCTATATATAGGGGAGTGATCAACTGCAAACCACTCAATTTGTACAAATCGTGCAAACCTCATTCAACCAATCATAATTTTTCATTTTGTTCATTTTTTTGTAATTATGAGAGGTTGATTAACCATTTTTACTGTGGAGGGTGTTAATCATGGATATTATCATCTTCATTATTTTAATTTTAGAGAAATACATGAAACAGTTTCATTAAAATTTCATTAATTAGTAAATGAAATAATTTCATAACCACATATGAAACAACTTCATCAAAAAAAGTATTATATGAAACAATTTCACAAGATTAACAATTTCATGAAAAAAATTCATAAGATTAACGACGGATGAGAGTAGTTTTTACGGTTTTTACAAATTGAAGTGGTTTTCATTTGATCACTTATATATATATATATATATATAGAGAGAGAGAGAGAGAGAGAGAGATTAGTAGACACTTGTAACTAGGGGTGTTAAAAAACCCGACCAACCCAATGCGAAATAACCTAACCCGATATCTAATCGAGTTGTAAAATTGTCAAACCGCAGGTATTGGGTTAATATTGGGTTACTATTATTTGAATTCAACTCAACCCGATGAACCCGATATCCTTTTATTTCCTGAATTTAATATGATTGTTGAATTTCTATTAATATATACATTAGACAATTACACTATCATGTATGTTTTTCATATACACATATTTTCAATCTATTCGCATCTCTATATAACTCATTCGTATTTATGTTCAGTAACTGTGAACATATATATGTAAATTGAGAAAATTAACTGAATGTGATATACGTAAAAATATGGATAAGTTGTATCAAATAGTTGATGATGAAAAGTAAATTATGAGTAGAGAAATAATATTCAATGTTAGAAAAATATTTTAATGTACCAAAATATCAACCCGACCAACCCATACGGGTTGGGTTGGGTTGGGTTGCACTTTGGTTTGGGTTGGGTTAAGATTTTTCGAAACCGCAAGTATTGAATTGGGTTGTTTAAATATCTTCGACCCGAACTAAATATTCACACAGGAAGATGACAGTGACATACAAATCAATAATATTTGAATGGTAATATAAAATATCTTTTAGTTTTAATATTTTAAATATATAAATCTGAAATTTGTTTCATTGGCAATGGCATCCTCCGTCAAACCAACAAGAGGAGAAAAAGAAAGCAGTCCCTATTTTTGTTCATTTCTTTATATTGATTCTGAGTTTACTATGAAGTTGTGATCGTATAATTATTAGATTGAAATATGTTAGGCTCAGACCACATAACTGGATCGAATTTTAGGGTGCGGTTTTTTACAGTTCGAGGCACATGCGGTGCGAACTGGACAATATCAAACATCTTTTTTACTGGTTACTTGAAGGATTCAAAACTGAAGGATAATCTGAAGATATCACAAGATTTGAAGAAGAGAACGATTTTGTCTTAAAGTTGGATGGAAGCCTCTTTCCATTAGGTAAATGAGATATTCATCTCTCCCTTTTGCCTTTATAAATAAGAGTATGAAGGAACCATTCAGTATACATTCTCCTTCAAGCATTTACCTTTGGCTTGAAGGTCTCGAGCAATAGTTTGTAATTCAATTTTCATCATTTATTTTTTGTCTTGTATTTAATTTCAAGTATTACGTTTTTGCTCACTATTTGTCCTCTGCGGCAATACTTTTAATTGAATTTCAATACAAGTATTTCTTATATATTTTCTCTACTTGTTTTTTTTTAATTTTATAATGAGTTAATCACCCTTTTGGGGAGGTTTAAGTCAAACTTAAGACTAGTAATATTACTAATTCTTAAGCTTGGCCACTTAAGTCAGGACTTTAACTCAACATGGATAAGTCAATCACTTTAAACTGTTAATATTATATTTTTGATTCAGAGATGGACGGATTCACAATACGGCTTAAGTGATGCACAAAGATTTGAAAAAAATCTTTGATAATCATGTAGAGATACAAATAGTGTATGTTTTTAGCTAAGGCTCAAATATTAGTCAAAATTTTCACTACAAAGAGATTTGAGTATTAATCTTCTGACTAATGGAAGTTGATACTTTTCAATCGCTTAACTAAATCGGAAAGCTTAGAATATGCGATAGTGGGAACTTTGTAGGCATTATCTATAATACTTCATTTTCGAGAGATTGAAACCATTCTAGAGGAGCAGTTGATTCAGCAATTTCTAGTCCTCTAGTACTTTTATAGATGCTCCTGTCACACCCTTGAAATTATCGTTGGTTGGCTAGATCTCTTGAATGAAAGTTTTAGACTATCTTGATTTAAATTATGGTTTCCACCATGATTAAGTAAACCTTATGATTTGATTTGTTGAAAAGTTATGTATTGATTTTATGGTGGGAAGCTCTTGAAACCTTAAACTTTGGTTCTTTTATTAGTTTTAATTCCATTTAAAAGCTTGGAACTGAGTTGGGTTTGAGTCTTGGTGTTTTTGGGGCGAAACAAGGGAAGAACAACAAAACAGGGTATGGAGCGACTAGGTCGCGTGGTACGGTGGTAGATATCAGGTAGGTGCCTTAGAACTTAAATAGAGATAAGGTTAAGTTTTTGTGTGGTAAAAGTGATCCATGCTTATCTGATTCAGATTCATGTGTTCGATACTGTTGCCTCTTAAAAGTTTAGAGTATTTATGTGATCCAGGTGAGTTTTCTTATAACATTTTGAACCGAAATGCATATACTATTAAATCTTCACATCAAGAAATAATAAGATACCGGTATACCTATTTGATTATTGTTCAGAGTGTTACAGTATGTATATTTAACAACGGTGTTGAGCCAGTTGGGCCAACGTGTATATTTAACAGCAGTGTTGAGCCTGTTAGTCCAACGTGTATATTTAACAACGGTGTTGAGCCATTGAGCCAACGTGTATATCTAACAGCGGTGTTAAGCCAGTTGGGCCAATGTATATTTGACGGCAATATTGAGCTGGTGTGTCAAGCTTATATTTAGATGGGTTATAATGTTTGAGAGTTATTATATAATTTTATTTTAAGAACGAGTAATATGATTTGGTTTTATATAATGTTGTATTGATAAGGGATTTCATCACTAGATCTTATGGTCTAACCCTTGTTTTGTTTTAAAAAATATGCATTTTAAGGCAGCCTCGGATAAAAGGTAAAGGGAAAGAAAAGGCTGTGAAATCATCGTTTTGGATGCTTATATGGGGAGCATGTGGATTTTATCCTGAAATATTGACTTTCATTTGAGCATTGGTTGCTTTTTTTTTCTTTTTCAAAGTATTTTCCATGTTGTATGTCACGGCTACAACATGTTGAACTTTTACCATTTGATCTTGAGATTGAAAGAACAATAAATAGACGTAGATGAGGTAGAAATGATGGCAATTTAAGGTTTAACATCAATGAATTACAAACCAAACCTTACATAAAGTCTAGATTAATGACGGGAGAATAAAATCCAACAACAGTTTCTATCTCCAACTTACGGAATATTGTCCCCAAATGGCCAAATCCTTCTCGTGCCTCTAACTAACGCTCGTATCATCGAAAATGTCGCTAGTACCATTCTCAAACGAGAACATGATGCATACGCAAAAAAATAAAAAGAGTTAGGGTTAATGCTTAGTGAGTTCAAGTAATTTTCATCTTTAATATAAACGGTAAAGCTAAAAAGAATGTTATTTGAATCAACATTTCCAAATTAAAATGTTGTTTAGTATAAAAGCAACATATTTCCCAAAACCCATCATTTTTGTGATGAGAACGCGTAAATCAAACACCCGTTTAACATGAATCAAAACCTAATACTCATATGAGATGCAAATAAGGTTTAATTATCAAACACTAAAAACATGGATAAAACTCTATGATCCAAAACATTAAAACATGGGTAAGATCCAATATACCAAAACCACAAATTATGGATACTCTTCAAACCCAAAAGAACACCGAAAAACATGGATAATACACTATCATAAAATAAACACCTTTCAGTGACGGAGGAGATCCGTATCCATCGAATGTGGCGAATGTTGAGTGCATTTTATGCACCTAACTTTGTATATTTTAGTTGTGTCTTTTATGCTTTCTAGTCCTTAGTTTAGTCCTTTCATGTCTTTTTATTGTTTCCGAGTTTTTCTCTAATCACAGTTGGAAGTTCTTTCGGGGATAGTTTTTAGGCTTTGGTATGTATTTTTTTGTAGATTGTGCATAACTTTAAAGATGAGAAGAGTGAAGGCAAGCTCAAGGTAATTAAAGAAAAGAAACATCAAGGGAATGTGGAAAGTGAAGCCGAAAACGAAGAAAAGAAGAAGATAATCGAGAGTGAGGAGGAGAAGCCATGTAAGGGAAATCAGAAGGACTTAGTTGTTGCCATGCTTCACGGGCGTGAAAGTCTACTTTGCAGGCGCAAAGAAAAACACCTTAATTCATGTTGAAAGTCTATGCCATCGTTTGACGGGCGTGAATATTTCTTCACTGTCGTGAAACACTACTCCAGGAACATTTCAATTTTCTACCGCACTTTCACGGTCGTGAAAGTCGTTTCGATTTTAAGTAATTTTGGGCTTCTTCTGTGGGCCAACCCTTTTAGGTTTTCTTAGCGGAGGCCATTTTGTTTTTCTGAGAATACGACTTTCGCTTTCTCTCCAGCTCTTTGGTCGACTTTTAAATTTCTTGGGGAAGAAGATCAACGGATTTGAAGCTTAGGCCATTGGAGATCGATTTGCATTTGGCTTTCATACGTTATTGAGTATCTTCTTTCCTACCCTTTAGTTTATATTTGATTAACTCTTGTTTTATCTGAATATTATCATTGAATGAATCGTTCTTTGAGTTTCCTCAATCAATCCTTCTATGTTCTTGCTACTTTGTATCAAAGCTTTAAATTTTTTGCACTTCTATATCTCACCATTACCATAATCCGAACTCGACGTTACCCAGTATTCTTTAGTTGTAGCTGTCATTTGTTTTACTTAATTTTGCTATTAATTCCTTCTTGTCTTCCTTCTTCCTTTAATCTCGTTTAATTTATGTCCAATTAGTATAATAACCAAATCAATCGATTCACATAACTAGGTCATAATTATTAAGTGGTTAGTGTTTAGACCGTCACCTCCATGTGATCGACCCCTATGCTACATAACCTGTATGCTTGCGTTATAAATTCAAAACAACATCAGCGAACAAAAAGTAAGCCATACAACAACGTTATCAAATAGCACCTCAAGATTCAATTTACCTTAGTGCCTACTCATCTGAGTTTCACCTCAAGGCTCATGTCCTTAGTGTCTACCCCATCGGGTAGCTCCTCAAAACCCATGGTTCTTAGTGCCTAGCACTCCAGGTAGCGCCTCACGACTCAGTATTCTTAGTGCCTACTCTTTGGAGTTTTACTTCAAGGATAATGATCTTAGTGCTTACCTCTTGAGGTAGCACCTCAAGGCTCAAGTCCTTAGTGCCTACTCAACATAGGCCAAAAGCCTCAAAACAAGGGTATGGGAGTCCGACACATTTGAGCTCACCTCCGCAATACCCGTGGTCCCGGAGTCCAATCCCACACGGGTCCCTCTTCGTTATACCAACACGACCACCATGCTTACTCGAGCATTGGTCTCAGAGTAAGAACATCAAACATCCTCACTCATCACATGACTCACTCACATACTTGTAGATTCATTGCATTACAATCTAAAATCACATGACTCCAAATGAATGACCAGCACACTCAAAACATATAATTTTCAAACAAAATATATTTTAAAAAAAATTATACAAAATAATGATAATCTGACGAAGATATTATATGAAAAATAATAAAAATAAATAAATTATCATCATTTGCATTATAAAATCAAACCTTAAATTATTGATGCAACAGAGGCCATGTTAAAATCCCATGTGACATACAAATGACTTTTCCTTCTTTTTTTTAACCATATGCTCGCTCCCGTACCATAATCACGTGAAGATGCCCAACACACACTATTTATTGATTTTTTAAATGTCTTATATAAAATATTTACTTGACGTTGTAGCAGAAGCATTGGGTTCTGGTGAGAATGAAAATTACAGTAAGAAAAATGTACCCTTTTATTCTTACATGATTAACATTAATAAAAAACACGGAATCAGTCATCTTCTAAAACGTAATTCATGGGTTGGTTTGAGATTAAAAGTAATCAATAGTCCAAATCCATCTTACATTTCTCGTTTTAACTTCTATTTTTACATGATCTTTCGTTTGTAGCAATATATGTAAATCTTGACTTATTTTCGAAATTATATTTTTCAAACTAGATTTTTTAAACATTATATTTTAAATTATAAACATTTAAATAAAGATAATTTTTAAATGAAAGCACTTTTTTATTTCCATACATTTTTCTTATTTATCATTACGTATAATTATGTGAAACATTCTGATTGAATTTATGGATCGGAATAATGAGTCATTGATCGACCATGATTTCACCGTTGGTCACATGTGATGTTTTTAAAACTTGACCTTAATTTATGATAATCTAATAACTTGTTACGAGTAGGGATTATTTTGTATGATTTTTATATCTTGACAAGACGTTTTCAATAAACAGTAATTTATTATTAGGGTGTAGGAGATTGGGGGAGGGGCAACGATAGGGGTGTTGGTTTCATGGTCATCGTCGTATAATGATCATATTGGTTGTAATATTATTAGCATTCTTGGTGACGATAATAGTAGTAGTAGTGACAATGGTAATGGTGGTAAACGGAACCACTACGACCATAGCAGTCATGGTCATAATGTGAACGATAATTAGGAAAGAAGAACAGAGAAATGAAATTAAAACTTTACGTTATTAAGTCCCGTATACATATTAATAGATAGCCATCATGGATAAGACAACACATATTTACCAACAATAATGAGAGGCACCACACACTTTCATTTGCTTTCAATTCACTCAATTCTATTTATTATTTCCTCTTCTCTTTTTTGCATTTTTCCCTATCTTTATAATACTTAAAAGGAGTGTTTGGGATTGCTTATTTAAAACAGTTTTTGTTTTTTTACAAAAGCACTTATCAACTTATTATAAGTCAGAAGGATTTAACTTCTTCAAAAACTCGTTATTATCGGTTTGGCACCGGTATAAGTTGTTTATCCAAGCACTCAAAAGTGCTTATTACCGGTGTCACACCGGAATAAGTCAATAAATTGTTTTATAAGCAATCTCAAATATCCCCTAAATGTTTTATAGATGAAAATAATTTTGAATTACAATATTTCAAAAAAAAAAAAAAAACCAAAACCATTGAATTGTGTTAAAAAAATAGAATTAAAAAAACTTTTATATATCTATTTTCAAAATTTTATTTTATTCAAAAATAAACACATTATTCCTGCCTCGAAATCACATAAATCGTATTATAAAATTGATAAAGATGAAATAAAATGAAACGTTAAAATCAAGATGTATCTCACTAAATTATGCAAGTAACGTTGTAGTTATAATTAATGTATATATTGAACAACTCTTAGACCATATGCATATTTTTTACTAACTTTTTAATAGTTTAATAGGTTGGTAATTATCAATAAAATATAATCGAAAATGAATAAATTATATCAAAATGAAACGTATTTTGTTTGCTGTCTTTTTAGGAAATCTACATTCAAAAACTCCAGTTTTTATCCACGACTATGCATGTCAACAAAAAAGTTTAGAAGTTTTTAACATCGTTTGGCATAAAATTATAGGGGTTACTATTCATACTCCCTCTCACTCACATTGAAAAGTCCAGATTTCATACGAATCTTGAAGTAATCTTCATCAAATCTCAAGAACAAAGATGAATACAATATAGATTGGAGAGAGAGAATTAATTTGCTGTCAAATCACCTTTTCTCTGATTAATGATGTAATCAATGTGTAATTACAATTACAAAGGAAATACTATTTATACTTAGGAAAATAAAGCTAAACTAATTACAATAAAGCTAAGTAAATGTAGAAACTTGAATACAACATTTTAGCTCTAATCTTGAACCCAACACACATACACCTAGTTCTTACCCCCTATCCTCCACTCACATACCCACTACAGGACGGGTGTGAATGATTCAAAAAATTACAACACCTTGATTTTTTATTCACATAGTTGTTGCATATTCTCTTAATTGTAGAAAATTCATAATATGTTATGTTAATTGTATCAAATACATCGTATGTTCCCTAAAATGAATCTTTTGGAAATAGGTTTTTGTTTAAGCCAAAGCTTTGCTCAATCGGACGTCTAATGATATGGAACGTCAAAGACCAAACTCAACCAATAACGGATGTTAACTTAAAAAAGTAAAGCAAAGACGTTATAGATACCACCAGAGTTGGTGAAGTGAGAGAACCCTCAAAAGAGAGTAAAAACCACATGTGCGGAGATGTGTCCACCACACGATTAAGTGCTTGACAACAAGATTAGACGTCGTTGTTAACAATAGTAGGTTATAGTACGAAACAGAGAATGCAATAAAGTAAGCAAAATACAAGCATGTTGCGAAGATGATCATAGTGAGTAGTAATGTATGTTTATACCTCTTTTTCTCCATGATTGCCCCTTCAAATATTTCGTACTGCCTTGACTTTATCCCGTGAAAGAGGGAGGATCCCTCGAGATCATAACAACCCCGACTTCTTCAAATCATTTCTTGACTTAGTTCTCACGTGACTCATGCAAAAAACCTCATTATTAGCATATATGTATCTTGTATAACTTTATGTATAATCAGGCCCTTATTTTTGTACGTCTAAGCCAAATAGGATTGTGTTATCCTATCTGTTGAATTTTAATGAGAAAAGCGATTCATAGGAAATATTGGTGTAGATTCAAGAAGTGTGGACACTGTGGCAAAACTTCTTGCATGATATTTCCGCCTCACGAGTACTTGTCGACTCATATCATGTTGTAATATTGACCACAACAATTGTCAAAATAGACACAGAAACAAATTACGTTTATTTTGATATAATTTATTAAAATAAATCAAAAAACAATATTTAGATATAAAATTTAAATTGAAGAGACATGTAAGTTTAAAAAAAATATAATTAAATCTAAAGTGAATGAGAATTGATGAAAAGGTAGATCTAATGCAACCTTGTCCATGTTCATACCCATGTGCATGTCGTAAAGATTTCCATTTTCTTCTTTTATAAGCATGCCATGTGACTCATCCATGTAAAAGAAAATAAAAGCACATTTCATTTAAAACAAGATTAGTTGTGTACTGTTGTAAAGCGATGGGAGCCGTGAATTTTAACGATTTTGAAGTTTCACTGATTTTATTAGAGAAGATTTAACGATGATATAAGTTACACTTGGTCTTTACTTATTAATATAATTTGAATAAATAAAAGTTATGGTTCTAATTACAGTTTATCGATGAAAAGAATTGTATAACAGCTTAAAATCCAACATATTTAAACGACTCCACAAATGCGTTCGATTTACACCAAGAGCAAAGAATCAATAGATTAAGAACGAGACCGAGAATTCTACACAATTGAATAAGAGATGAATGAGAGAACTTTTAATAACTTATGGTGAATATTAGTTTGAATCTCACATTGGAGGATGAAAAGAAGACAAAGAGGTATGAGAGGATAAATGCACGAGTGAAAGGTGTCAAAAGTATATTGAGAACATGAAAAAAAAAGAGTAATAATATGCATTGGTAACTTGTACTATATGATATTTTAATTGTAGATTAAGTGATTTTAAAACTGAATGCATAAAGTAGTAGTACTTAATGTATTATGAGTTGTTTTTAAGACTTTTAATACTTTGTGCATTATAAATTATTTTCAAGACTTTTGATAAATCTGATTTATAAGGTAATATAGATGCTACCATTTTATGAAGAAATATTGAAACATAAATTGTTTTTGTTTATAATATATTTAAAATTAAACGACTATTTTTGTTAATTTTTCTTTAATTTGCCTGTTTATGATATTTGTTTTTATTAATTATTGACAAAAACAATTCTGATTTCTCTCACAAATTAAATGCAATTCAACATTCTATTAAATATAATACACTAATTTAATAAATAATTTTCCATTAATTAGTTTAGGGAATAAATTAATGTCTAATTACTCTTAAAAGTTAAGTAATTAATAGTATTTAAATCAAACATTTTTTAGAAGCTGTTGTACTACATTTATTTGAAATTTCATAAAAATAAAAATAAAATCATTTTATTTAATAAAAAATATATTTTTTTTGAAAAGAACACTACACTTTTTCTAAAAATATTTTAATTGTTTTTATTTGCCAGCTTTTAAAAATAAAAAAAAATAAAAAATCCGGGCCAGGTATTTCGTAACAAAACGGGAACGTTTCAGTCACGTTCCATTCAAACTCCCGCTTCGCATTTCAAATTTTAACTTTCTCGAAAATCCCATTAATTACCGTTTGAGACACCTACCCCCCCCCCCCTCCCCCCTACTTCATCTTTATAAAAGTCCGTATCAACACTCCTCCGCCCCACCACCAACTTTTCACTCTTTTCAAATTCACTCGCTCACAAACCCTGATTCAATTCAATTTCAAAAAAAAATGCGTGAGATTCTTCACATCCAAGGAGGCCAATGCGGCAACCAGATCGGTGCCAAGTTCTGGGAGGTGGTTTGTGCGGAACACGGCATTGATTCCACCGGCCGTTACCAAGGCGATTCCGATCTCCAACTTGAGAGGATCAATGTCTATTACAATGAAGCAAGTTGTGGCAGGTTCGTTCCAAGGGCTGTGCTCATGGATCTTGAGCCCGGTACCATGGACAGTCTCAGATCTGGTCCCTATGGTCAGATCTTCCGACCGGACAACTTTGTTTTTGGCCAATCGGGTGCCGGAAACAACTGGGCTAAAGGTCACTATACCGAAGGTGCCGAGTTGATCGATTCGGTTCTTGATGTTGTCAGGAAGGAGGCCGAAAACTGTGACTGTCTTCAAGGTATGTCTCTTGGGCATTTTATCGAACACCTTTTTGTTATTAGGGTTTTGTTTCATTTCTTACCAGGATAGATCTAGACCTTTGCTGTTTAAATCAGGGTTTTTGACATCATGGGAGGGTTATAACTTTGGGGGTTTTTGATTTTGATTTCCATTTTGTATATGCAGGGTTTCAGGTTTGTCATTCGTTAGGAGGGGGCACCGGATCGGGTATGGGTACCCTTCTGATTTCAAAGATCAGGGAGGAATACCCAGATCGGACGATGCTGACTTTTTCTGTTTTCCCGTCACCAAAGGTGTCTGATACTGTTGTTGAGCCTTACAATGCCACGTTGTCAGTTCATCAGTTGGTTGAAAACGCCGATGAGTGTATGGTTCTTGATAATGAAGCTCTGTATGATATTTGCTTCAGGACCCTCAAGCTCACAACTCCCAGCTGTAAGTTTCTAATTACCAGCTTTGTTTTTCGATCTAAAGAATCTTGATCGTAATTTGAATATTTTTATTGAAATCACACAATAGATGGACTGATTTAGTCTGGGTACTTTTTTGGAACAACAGTTGGAGATCTTAACCACTTGATTTCCGCCACCATGTCCGGTGTGACTTGCTGTCTCCGATTCCCTGGCCAACTGAACTCCGATCTCAGAAAGCTTGCGGTGAATCTTGTCCCATTTCCCCGTCTCCATTTCTTCATGGTGGGGTTTGCTCCTCTTACTTCACGTGGGTCTCAGCAATACCGAGCCCTAACCGTCCCTGAACTCACCCAACAAATGTGGGACGCCAAGAACATGATGTGCGCAGCCGATCCACGCCACGGCCGGTACCTGACTGCATCGGCCATGTTCAGAGGCAAAATGAGCACAAAAGAAGTGGATGAGCAGATGATCAATGTCCAGAACAAGAACTCATCCTACTTTGTGGAATGGATCCCAAACAACGTGAAATCAACGGTCTGCGACATCCCACCAACAGGTCTGAAAATGGCGTCTACCTTCATTGGGAATTCTACATCGATTCAGGAGATGTTTAGGCGTGTGAGTGAACAGTTTACAGCCATGTTCAGAAGGAAAGCTTTCTTGCATTGGTACACTGGTGAAGGGATGGATGAGATGGAGTTCACAGAGGCTGAAAGCAACATGAATGATTTGGTGTCTGAGTATCAGCAGTATCAAGATGCAACAGCTGATGAGGAGGGAGAGTATTATGAGGAGGAAGAGGAAGAAGAAGGTCAGGATATATAGAAGAAGAATGAATGGATGAGAGTACCAGTTGTCAGTCTCTGGCAAGGGGAAGAATTTGAGTTGCTGCTTTAATGATATGATATGTTAGTAGGGCATGATTTGAATACTTGATGATGATATATGTTGTTTCTATGTCTGAATTACTTACTGCTGCTTGATGATATATATTTTGGTTACTGAAGCTACATGATCTGAAATCGCCTTTGGAATAAAATGATTAGTAATTTCCTGTTTCGGTTGTCTATGATACGATTCAGCGACACGCCCCTTCTATGAGGAAAATGGCGTTCCAAAGTTCTTTAATCCTTGTGAAAAGATGAAGTAACTGTATTCAACCCCTCCTACAATACAATACTTTGTTGAATTATTGTCATCCCATTCGATTCAATCCTTCCCCACTTAATTATTGGTGATTATTAAAGGAACATTGTCATTCGGTTGCACTTGCTTGTTATATTGGTAAACTAATTTCAAAATAGTATATGTTTTTTAAAAAGTTAAAGTAATGTGTTCTCAAGAATTATTATTCGGGAAAATCACTAAAACGGCTAAAATATACCTGATTTATTAACGAAATGGTCAACTTTTACCGAAATTGACAAAATATCCATATGGATCGCACCCCGAGGCAGAGGTTTGACCATGGGGAGCGATCTCTTTTTGTTTGACCAAATAGTACAAAAAAAATATTAAAAAAATTAATTTGGTGGGGATCACATGTATCTGCTTTAGGAAACCAATACTATTTGCCTCGACAATTGGGATCTACCCCCGGGGGAGAGATCCCCACCTTACCGGACCTACCTTCGGGGGTGATCCATTTAATTTTTTCTCACTTTTTTGTCTTTTAGTGTATATCGATTAAAGAGTGTTTAATAAATAGAAGACGATTAAAACTGTTTTTTTTAACCTTTTTAAGATTAAATGTCACGGTTTTAGTTTATAAAATAGAACTATGATAATTGTGGACACAAAAAAATTATTTGTATCTGATTTAGGGGACAAAAATCAAATATTATATCTGATTTATGTAGTTTGACCGTTATTTCGTCTTTTAGTGTTTAAATCGATGTGACAATTAAAGGTGTTTTTTATAAATAACAGACGATTTAGAGTGTTTTTTAATCGTTTTAGGACCATGGTTTTAATATATAAAATTAATCATTTTTATTCTCACAACCCGTAACCCGTAAACACAATCTACCGTGACAATCCTTAAAAAAATATGATTGTACGTGAATAATTCTAATTTTTACCAATTTTTTTGGAACGTATAAATTAACCAACGAATGTTTGGACTGCGCGGTAAACTTTGATGGATTACGGCACTTGATGGATTTCACACATAACCACCATCGTCGACCACAAAGAGTGTCAACATTTCCGGTAAACTTAGATGAATGACGTTATGGAACATTAGCACATCGTCGTCATCGCTTAACTGATATAATATTTGTAAAGAATTTGTTTTATAAAATAAAATGAAAGAAGCACGTAAACTTAACTTTTTTGTGACACGTTTAATGACACCAGAATGCGATATTGGCGAAGGCAAACATAATACTTGTACAAGGGAGCTTAACGGAAGGTACTCTAAGACACCATTTATCTCTTGAATGAACCGCTACTTCAAAGATACACCAAAACTTCATCACTTTGACATGATTTAATATTTGTGATGAGTAGTGATGGTAGATTGTGTTTAATGGGTTAAGGGTTAAAGATTGTGATGGTTTATTGTGTTGAAGGGTTAAAAGTTGTGAGAGTAGAATATATGAGAATAGAAATGAAAAAGAAGGTCCAAAAAATAATAAAATAGGAGGTTGACATTTATAATGGAACTTGTTGCACTAAAAGACGAAATATGATTCAACATAAAATATCTAATATAATATCTGATTTTTGTTCACCAAATCAGATACAAATAATTTTTTTCGTCTCCACAATTATTATAGAATATCAACATTTCTTATAAGAAAAAATATAACAACATTCATTGGTTAATTTATGCGTTTCAAAAAAATTGGTAAAAATTAGAAATATTCACGTACAATCATATTTTTATAAGGTTTGTCACTCACGGTAGATTGTGTTTACGGGTTGTAAGAGTAGAAATGTTTTATTTTATAAACTAAAACCATGACATTTGGTCCTAAAAAGAAAAAAAAAACAGTTTAAATCGTCTCTTATTTATTAAAAAATCCCTTAATCGATATACACTAAAAGACAAAATAGTGGAAAAAAAATAAATGCATGAACCGCCCGGGGTAGATCCAGTGAGGTGGGGATCGCCCCCGGGGGTAGATCCCCATTATCGAGACAAATAATGTTGGTTTCCTAAAGGTGATGCATGTGGGCCCACCAAATTAATATTTTAATATTTTTTTGTACTATTTGGTCAAACAAGAAGTGGATCGCCCCTATTGTCAAACCTCTATCCGGGGCGATCCGTTTTAGCAATTTCAATAAAAATTGGCTATTTCGTTAATACATTAGGTGTTTTTTGATCGTTTTAATGATTTTCACTATATGTTTTTTAAAAAGTTAAGTAATCTGTTCTCAAGAATTATTATTTTTGCTTATGAAGAAATACATTTATTTTTTGTTCACAAAATTATAAAATATCCTTAATTGAATAAACTTCATATTTTCCCTAATAAAGACATAAGAATCAAAGACACAAGATGTAATTGAAAGTAGAGTTTTTAAAAGTAGATTTATCGAAAAAAGAACCAGAAAGTCATGGATACAACCCGTGAACCGTTTGCATCGTTACAAACGGGAGCCACGGTGCACCATCTCCTACAAAGCCGAGGAGCAGGGTGCACCATGGTTCGACCACTCGTCGAGCACACATAAACTTAAAGGCCACATTGCATTTCCAATCTTAAAAGTCTGCATCTAAAATCATCATAACATTGTACAATATGGAACCACATTTTGTTCATGATATTGCACAGCATTATAACTAAACTACAAACCAATCCCTAATCATAAAACCCACATTCATTTACAAATCAAGAAATCAGTAAGTAACCTACTTCTCATTTGCAGAGGCTTCATCAAGAACAATCTTCAGTTTCTTGTGCTCGCATTCTTGCAACGATTTCACGGTAAACTCTTCGGGCACAATCGGCTGCCGCCTTTTCCCGAATACCGTCCACATAAACATCACAAAAAATGTACTCAAACCTCCACATCCAATCCCAACTATCAGTGCTGCAAGAATCTTGATAACACAGTCACTTTCTTTAGGAACCTTCAATTTATGTTCTTGATTCTCTATAGAATTAGAAACCATTGGATCTAATGGCTGAGAATGCATCCAATCGGGTGCTCTAGATGCTTTAAAGCTCCAATAATGGATCTCACAGGTTTGTGAAGAATTCCCATTTGATGAAATCAATCCCACAAAAACCCCTTCATTTTTGGGCCATATTTTCGAAAGATCGATTTGGGTAAACAGCACTGGATCGATAGGTCGTTTTCTGCCAAATCTATTCAATCTAACCTCCACTCGCCTTGACCCTGCTTCGTAATCGATCCAAGTTTGCATTCTTTCACTACCATTCAGTACCAAATTGACAGAAGAAAGATTCATAGCTTTCACAGATACAAACATGGATGAATCAATCCCACTTTGAGCCTCATTCATACCAAATGCAACACTCAAGAGCCCAAACGAAGCGTTATAATTATATAAATCTAAAGGATATCCATATGGGAACACCATAAAAGCTAAACTATTCCCATTTGAGATGGAAAAAGAAAAATGTGTGGAGAATGATACCAATTTCTTAGGAATTCCTCCATATATCTTGATGGGTCTTTTGTAAATCACTCTGCCAGCACTGGAAGCTGATGGGGCAGTAAGCTGTAGTGATGAACCGCCATGAACGACCTTGGCATCTCCATAAAGCGCAAGAAAGGAGTCAAAGCTTGAATCTTTACCAAAGTTCTTGAGGGAAAACGATGTATTAGAGTCTGCAGTTAGGGATTTGGACAAGAAAATGAAGAAAGAGAGGGTAATGAAGGTCCTTGAGATGGCCATAACTTGTGATCTGGATGGTTTGTTAGCAAGAAAAGGCCATGATACTGGTGCTAGGGTTTTGTGAAGATGGTGGTGATTTTATAAATGGGGAAAGAGAGGTTGGAGGTTGTGAAAATTAAATGTGGGGTGTTATTTTACTGGTTTCTGCTGCACTCTCTGATGGTCTCTCCTTTTGCTACAGTGGTTGACTGGTTGCTGAGTAAAGGTGTTTGGGGGTGAGAGTGAGGGTAAGGGTGAGGGGTGCGAAAATTTACAAGTATACCCTTTAATTTTCTCCTATTTACACTTAGCTACCTCCTAATTATTGGGTTCTCTCATTTTGTATCCTAGACGAACCGTACCTAAGAACCTGTTCTTGTACATCCTTACATGAAACCATCCAAAATCAATCAAACCGAACCACATATTTTATTGAGGCATGAAAAAGGTCATGTTAGGCCTTTTATGACTTTAAATTGCACAACTGTTAGATTGAAAATAAAACACCCCTTTATTTATCTACTCGTCGTTGGTGACGGAGCGAGGATGATCTCATTCATGATCGGCCAAGTCCGAAAGCTGCAAGACTCCAGCTGCCTCCTTTTGAGCTCGTCAAGCAGGCGTTGAACACGGAATAAGACTCTCCCGCCCCTTCGACATCAAAAACAAAGAAAAGTAGGATATAAAAGTAAATACACTAATATCCAAGGGGGTAGATTGAAATTAACCAATATGTTATATGTAATTGCTTTTCACCTTCCTTTTCCTCCTTTCCCACAGTGAAGAGTTCTTTTCCCTAAAAGACAGTTGTCATAGGTGATACAAATTCTTCATTTTTGTTAAATTGTATCCTTTTACTTTTGATCAATTACAAATTTTACCTTGTCTAGCATTTGTTTTTCAAATAAAGTCCCAAGTGCAAAATTATTCGGTAAACACTTACCAAGTAAGCGTATAGTAAACGGCCCCTTAGTTATCATTCATCAAAATCTTACTTATATTGAACAATATTTGCTACCTTAGTGTAGATTAGGATAAACTGTCGGGTCTTTTTTAAACCAATTTTTTGAATTCGACTGGATAAATACTAGAAATTTTTAAGAGTAGATAAAAACCGAGCTGGTTTAGACTGAAGGTCAGTCCAATTTTTTTTAAATTATTTTTGTTAATCTTTTTTAAAGACCAGTTCAAAAGCCTAGAGACTTATTTTGGATTGGACCAGTCTAGATCTAGGCTAGATTGTTGGTTCAAGTTAGGTCTTTACCTTGATAAATACGAACGAAACATAGGTTTTTCCAAACCGTGTTAACTAGGCTTTAACCAAATTGGCCTGTTCACACCGGTCCATTTGCAACTTTATAAGCTAGAAGAAGATATATTATAGAACAATAAGAAAAAAGAAACATAATAAAGATCTTGACCATAAAATAATAATATATTTATAATGTCTAGATTCTGATCAACAGAACCTGAAATTCTTGAATCTAATATATATATATATATATACACACGAGAACGCGAGAACACCCTTTTAGTATAGACAATCACATGTGATACTATTATTTCATCACATATGATACACATGTGATACTAAATCAGAAATACGGACGATTTTTGATGCGATCTTAGTTGCGAGCCAAGTCGTCCTTACACCACTAAGCCCCCTCACAAGTATTATCACATGTGATAAGGGTGTTGTTGATATTATATTATAATTCATCAAAACCACCATATGGGATGCTAAATCATAGACGCAGACAACCTTTGGTGCGACCCAAGTCATAGAACACGTCGTCCGCACATCACAAGGTCTTCTTATGCATATTATCACATGTGATAAGGGTGTTCTCGTAAAATGGAGGTGTTCTCGTTTGAACCTCCACCTATATATATATATATATATATTTTTTTTTTCTTCCTCCCCCGTTCTTCTTTCTCTCTTTCTCGCTCTCTTTCTCTTCTTTCTTCTTTTTCGTCCTCCTCCTTCTTTCCCTTCGGAGTGCCTTGGTTATTCTAGTGGATGTAGTTCACCCCCACCCAAGAGCGTTATTGTCTGATTTTTAGCGTTTTAGTGTTTTATCTTGATCTGGAGGGGTCTACCCCCTCCCTATCAAAAAAAAATATTGGGTGCAGTTTGTTGTGTTTAAATTCTAAGAGTATGTTTTAGAAATAATAAAAAAAATAAGGGGTTTAATTGAAAATAATACAAATACCAAGGGATTGTAATTAAAAATATCCAGCAAAAGAGATTCCTCCGACATATACGGACATTTTAGTATTATTTTGTCCGACAAAAGAATGGGATTTTTCTTAACTTTCTTGATCGACACGAAATTACATCTAAAATATATTTATATATATATATATATATATATAAATAACATTTCTTTTTATTAAAAAATCACATTATTAATTCAAATAATGTGATTCTGTAATCATGCTGAATCCAATATTTATAAAATATAAAGAACAAGAGAAAATATGTTGAAAAATATTTTATAAAGTAAAAATACCGATTTGTATAAGTTAAAGGAATGGAGTATGTATGCACCATGCCTAGTTTAGCACTATCTATTCTAATAAAACTAATGTACGCATGGTTTCAAGCCATCTAACCTTTTCTTACATTTCTTATGTTCAATAAAGTTTCTTAATCCATATTTCTTTTAGTTCAATGGATGTATGGTGGATGGCCGATGGCGAACGGAAGTGGTGGATGGTCGGTGATGATGGAAGGTATTAAAGAACAACATAAAGACGATGATCGAAGTTTTGTTACTATAAAAACTTTTGGATACACGATAACATAGCTACATATATCTTAAGGGTTGGGTTATACGATAACATAGCAACATTTTCACAATGTGTTTGTTTCATATGTATTTGATTCACAATGTGAAACTTATTTCACATGTACTTTTTGTTTCACAAATACACCAAAAAGGTTCATATAATGAACCGAGTACATGTGAAACAAATATATGTTAATTACTACGTTACATTCTAGCTATAGATGAAAAAAAAATCATATAAAATAGTACATGATGAATTAATTCTCAAAGTTATTATAACTTATGAAGTTATTAAAAAAAGTTCCTTCTAAATAAAGTTTTACACATCTTGATTAAAAAAAACCTTAAACATATATAAAAAATGGATACCAAAATTTTAAGATTTTTATTTAAAATCTCATATTAAACATGTTAAGGAAGGAAAACAAAAAATACTATAGAAAATAAAGATTAAGGGGTCGTTTACCAAATGCTTATCTGGGTAAGCGCTTACTAAGTCACATTACCTTACTGAATGACTATGACAAGGAACAAGAATCTTACCTGGTAAGAGCGAAAACAAGGACCGACAATCTTACCTGGTAAGTGATGACGACGACTCTTACTATAGTTAGCGCTTACCGGGTAAACTATTACATACTATATCGTTTTGGTGGACTCAAATCTTACCAGATAAGTAAATGATAGTATTGAATTTTATCAATAAGCACTTACCGATTTGTGTTTGCAAAGAGGGAGAGGGAGATTTTTTTTGTTATTCCAATCAATAAGAGTCGTTGACATAAAATCACAAAAAGGTAAAAAAAAAAAAAAAAAAATAGATCAATTGGGTTTTAATGTGTAAGGTTGAATGGTTATATGTTTAAACATTTTTTTAGGTTAAATTTGACTATGAAATTCTGATATTTTTAAAAGAAGGAAAAGTCAGTTTTTGATGTACCAAAAAACTGTTTAATGTTTCTAGGAAAGTCACACATACCTCCAAACATCCACGTAGGAAAAATCAAAAGTTATATATGAATCACTACATGATCAATGGTCAAATTTTGATAAAAAACAATGTTTTGGAATGTAAATACGAAATGTCAACATGAGTTAAATGTGGAGCACCATACATTATACCGATTTATGTTTGCAAAGTTAAACACCATGTGAGATGTTGCACCCAATCTAGAAATCAGGCTACTCCTTTGCGACCTAAGTCATACCATTCTTCTTGTGAATCTGGGTGGCGTGTCCCTGCGATTTTAGTCACCTAAATGGTAGCCCCAACTGCCAACCACTGTGGTTCTCGTTCAACATAGTGGCTCATGCTAGTGTTGGTGCGGCTTTGTCCACTCCTAAAGTTGGCTGGACGGGCCTGGCTTCCAGCACCTATGTGGGGACGACCTCCTTCATGAGACCTTACCTGTCCAACTTGTGGCCCGACCCATTTTGAGCATGCAAGGGGTCTTAACCCTTGGCTAGTGCTTCGCTCTTTTGGTATGTAAAAAGCTAAGATCAGTTTTGGTAAAACCCTTGTTTCTCCCTCTACATGCTTGTTCTCCGAGTTTTCAAGAACTCTTTGATTTCTCCATTATTGTAAGTTGTAAATCTCACCATCAAAGTGATAGTTGATCGGTTCTTGGCATCCTCCGCCCATGGTTTTTCCCTTTTCATGTCTCTCTTATGGTTTATGTTTCATTCTATTGAGTGGATTATTGTTTACATTACTTAGTGCTTGATCATCTTATATTGTCAATTGTATTTCTGCTTAAAATTCCGATATAAAATTTTAGTGCATCACACTTGGTTATTTGTGTTCTATCAGGATCCAACTATTAAGTTTTTAGCTCTTTGAATCTTGATAACGTCACAACACATCACAATTATTCTAGTATATCGTCTTTTGAGATGGATGGACTGGTACAAGAGAACCAAACTGCTCGTATATATTTTGTGTATTTTCTTCCAAACGCTTTTATTTGTGCATTCTATCAAAAATGATTTATGTTATATAACAATTTTAATTGAATAATAAATTAGTGGTAACTACCAACCTAATGTTTTCTCTAAACTACCCAAAAGAATTTAAATATTCAAAATGTCTTTTTCATTAAAAAAAAAGAAATAAAACATAAATTCAATTAAATTCTATTACTTCCAAAAGGAAAATTAGATTGAAAACTTGTAAAAGTAAAGTTATACGAGGTCTAGTGACATTGGAAGAATCTATAACAAAGATCGATAACATTTAATGAAATCGAACTTGAGCATTTGAATATAATCATTTAACATCATAGTATCACGAGTTTCCGTCAACTTTAATGTAACATCCTCATAATCATATTTGCATATAACCAAGTATTTCATATATCATGAAATACAAATATACATATTCGGGTCCAAATATACAAAAGTTACATTATAAAAGTAGCTACCAAATTTTTCCACAACATTCATGTACATAATTTGTATATATAACAAGTATTTCAAAAAGATCATATATAAGCATGTTCTCATCTGCATCCCACATAAGCATATATATATCTTATAGTTTCCATTTTCCTTTATCCTTAGATTGAGCTCGATCTGTAATGCACATTTTTGAAACACGAAATGAGGGTTAGACCTTGAGGTCTAGTGATAAAAAAATCATTTGATGCAATTACAGGGTGAAAATCACCAAATCAAATTATAAATTCATATTGTAATACCAACTGTTAGGACCAAAATTGTCCTAAATATCATGAAAGATTTATTAAAGCAATTTGGGCCAAGTATGGAAGTCTGAAAATGAAGACTTCAGACTTTAGGTAAGCTAAGTCTGAAAATGAAGATTTCAGGCTTCGGGTTGGCTAAGTCTGAAAATGAAAACTTCAGACTTCGAGTTGGGTAAGTCTGAAATGAAGACTTCAAAGTTGCACTTCAAAATTATAATTCTGAAGAGTCATTATTCAGAGTTATACTTCAGAGTTGCACTTCAGAGTTACAAGTCTGAAGAGTCATTCTTTAGAGTTATACTTCAGAGTTGCACTTGGGAGTTATAAGTCTGGAGAGTCATTCTTCATAATTATACTTTAGAGTTGAAATTTGCATCATACAGAACAAGACCACCCAGAGCCCCTCTGGTCCTTAAGGACTAGAGCAAGCCAACCAAAGACAAGGCCAATTAGAAGCAAGGCCAACATAAAAGCAAGACCTGGAACCAAGAACTCGGATTTAGAGCTCGGACATAGAGAGTATGAAGACCGAAGTCTTACATGCAAATAGCCAAGTACTCGGATATAGAGCTCCACTCCCAGACATAGAGCCTCTGCATAGTACATGCAGAGCCTCTAGATCTCCTACTTAGCCCTAGAAGTAAGGTTAACATAAAAATACAAGGCCAACCAGAGGCCCTTTGGTCTTACCAACCAGAGCCCCCCTCTGGCCAACTAGAGCCTCTGGTTCGTCTATCCAGAGCCTCTGGGTTAAGAAGACTTAAAGAATGAGTTCCAATTACAACCAGAGACCCTCTGGTTAAATATGAAAATCAACCAGAGCCCTTTTGGTTCCTTAAACATGCATTGGAATATTTTCTAAGATTCAAATAAATAACAAAAATAAAGCCATCCATAAACCAAGCCAACAGGCCCTCTGGTAAAGCAGAGTCCCTTTGGTTCCTTTAGGGTGCGTTTGGTACGCAGACTGGGTGGGACGTGACGGGACAAAAATAAATAGTGCCATGTTTGGCATGCCATGGGACAAAAATAAGGTTGGACAACATTGGACAAAAATGAGTTTTCATGGGACTATTTTTGAGTTTTTTTGTTCCACCAAAAAAGGTGGAACAACATGGGACTAAACCTTGAGATTACAATTTTACCCTTATTAAATCACATCAGGTACAAAACCTAATTATAAACTCCATCGCCTCCTATCTTTCTTCATCTTGCAGCTTGATTATGGCCTCCATCTTCCATGAACTCCAAATCGATTCCACACTCCGATTTCCACGAGCTCAAACTTGATTCCAGATTCGGGTAAAATTTCTTCTCTATCTTCCATGATTGTCGATTTCTCCATAATTTCCTACACCAAATCGATTTCACGAACTCGATTCCACGAACTCCCGCTTCCACCAAATCGATTTCTTCATACTTTCCATGGTTGTCAATTTCACGAACTCCAGCTTCCACCAAATCGATTTCACGAACTCCAGCTCCCACCAAATCGATTTCTCCATATTTTCCATGGTTGTCGATTTCACGAACTCCAGCTTCCACCAAATCGATTTCACGAACTCGAAATCAGTTTTCGAATCGATTGGTGATGTTCATGTGAGATTTTAGCATTTGCATATTATGATGGTGATGTTCATGTGAGATTTTAGCATTTTGCATTTGCATATTA